AGGCGGCCACAAAACACCCCACAAGGCTTCAGGAAGACACAAAAAGCTTCATTACGCCCGGGGAAGCCCCAGGAGGCCGCACCGAACCGCAGGAAGCCCTGGAACCACCAAGAAGTCTGAGAATGCCCCCGGAGCTCTTTAACTAGGCGGCCTCAGGAGGCCCCAGGAGGTCCCAGGGGGCCTTGAGAAGCACCCGGGAGCTCCAGGAGGCCCCGGGGGTCCACGAGGCAACAGGGAGGCTCTGGGAATAGGCAGGAGGCCCCACGTGGCAACAGTGAGGCCCTGGGAGGAGGCAGGGGACCCCAGGAGGAGGCAGGAGGAGGAGGCAAGATGAGGAGGATGAGGGGGTGTGGTGCGGTACGGGTTAGCCCTATAGGCGAGGTCAAGCCTCAATCAAAACTCGAGCTCCGACTCGCGATCGCTATCATCGCTGCCCTCGTTCGCTGAACGATCCAGGGCCTGGAGCCCGACCTCGCGGACCGCGGGCAGATTGCTCTCCCACAGCCTGTGAGAGCCCGCAACGCCTCGACTCGCCCTCTCACATCTGCTCCATCCCAGGCCCCACACGTCCTTGGCCACTCTTCGGCGGGCAGCGGGGGCGCTGGAAGGGGCAGCGGGGCGCGCCTCCGGCCTGCTCCTCCAGAGCGGCGAGCAGCAACGGCAGCGCGCCGCGAGGCTTGTCGAGCTTGAGGTCTCTGGCGCGCGCCCGATACGAAGGGCGCTCACCCTGGCCAGCTATGACATGGTGCCGCCCCTGCAACATAACAGGGTCGAGGACGCGGGAGTGCCACGACCTGGCGCATCAGCCTGCAACGCCGCGTGACCCCGCCACCAAAAGGAAACACGCGCATACTCGCCCCACTCCTCACCAGCCCCCTACCCGACCTGGTGCAACGAACCAGGGACCTCGGCCCCATGACCTGACGGGCGATGGCACTGGTCGGGCTGGGGGGGCTTGGAGCCCGCACTTTCGGCCTCGGGCCCCCTCGAGCGCCAGTGAGTCCCCGCCAGGTCTTCGCGGCGCAGCTCACCCGAATGCACGCGCACAGTGGCGGCCCAACGGGCCGCCTCAGCAGCAAGTCCCTCGAGCCCGCGCCAAAGTTCATACTGGCCCTTGCCTGCGCCGCGTAGGGCCGCGCCCTGCTTTGCTGGCGGTCCGCGCGGGCGTTCTCCTTTGAACTCCCACGCTGAGTTCCCCCCGCTAGAACATGAGCCTGGGCACCGCTCGCCCGCCCCGACCCCGACTTTCAACGCTTTGAAAGTCGCCTGTGGTGAACGTCTGCCAGAACGGGCTCCAGAGATGGGCCCTGGCGCAACAGCTTAAGGCCCCTCCGCCGGCGCCCGCGCGCAGGGCCCAGACAGCGCCTGCAAAGTCGACGAACGCATCGAAGGGGGCCAAGGCGCGGGATCGCAGCATCGAGACCGCATAATCTCCCGCGTCTCTAGTTGTCTGCCCAGGACAAATGCTGAGCTGAAGCGGCCAATACGCGGCAGCTATATCCTCGCGGCCGTTAGTCTGGACAATTGGAAAAACAGCTCGAGGGAAAAAACGGCCCGCTGGCCCGCAGGGCCGAGACATCAGTGCAGAGCGCCCCTGTCAGAGGCCCCAGATCTGGACGGCTGTGCCAGAAGGATGGTCTGCCCCGGCTCCACGGGGGCGAAGGGGACCACCTCCGGCGACGGAAACGCACCGCGAGCGAACCTCTCGCCCATGTCGAAGCCTCACTCCTGCACCATGGAGGCCCTCACCTCGTGGAGCCCGCTGACGCCCTCGCGGCGAAGCATATCGTGTTTTTTGGGAAGGTGCCAGAGGGGCCCGTCGTGGCCCGCACAAGCGCGGCGGGCTCTGCCCAGAACCCATTGAGCCGATGCAGGAGCTTCCCGAGCCCATCCCAGAGCAATGGAAGACGCCATCCAGCTTTCGGTGCCCCGCGCTGCTGGAGCCTGCCTGCCCAAGGCTCTTCTCGCACCAGCTTCTGCCAGTCGCTGGGCCGGTAGCGGCGGCGCGCGGCGGAGGTCCAGCGCTCGCTGCCTATCCTCGGGAGCGGCCAAGAGGGGGGTGTCCAAGAGGGGGGGGGCAAATCATGACTGGCGGCATGTGCGCGGCCCAGCGGGGGGGGCCAGGGACGTAATGAAATAAGAGGAGGCGCCATGAGATCTGAGGAAATAGCATGGCCCACGCCATGATATCCACCCCCCCCTAGTCATCAGCCCCCCTCTTTGCCGCCCCCGACATCCTTTGCAAGGCGAGCATTAGGGAGCAGCGACCATCCGATTCCCTGCAGACTCAGCACAACAACTTCTGCAAGCGACGCCGCCGTCGACCACGGCGATCTCAGAGACTTTTCGGCCTCGTCGTCGCACCAGCCGGGCACTCGTCCGAGACTGCCGACTTTCGGGAAGGACTCCCAGACCGACGCCGCCCACCGAAAAGCGACCAGAGCAACGTGATGGCTGGGGGATCGGTCCCGGGGTCCTCCGCGTATTGGCGGGGGAGGCATCTGCGCCTGGGTCGCGGGAGGTGTCCACTCGACTGGTTGGCGGGAACCCCCAAGTCTGCTGCAGCTCACAGCCCAGGACCGCGCTGCCCCACAAATACTTCTTCTTGGCTGGAACAAGCAGGTTGAGCGCGCCCGGGGTAGAGGGTAAACAGCAGCAGGTGAGACAACGTAGTCGCAGCAGAACATCCTGCAATCGCACCCCCATTGGCTACCAACTTACCCGGAACATATCCCCCGTAGTGTAAGACCCGCGCTGCAGCATGCACCGCGCACGACCAACGAAGCAAGTCAAGGTGAAACTTGTGTTCGTCCGTCGCTGCGTGTAGGTCTCTGTGCTTGATGCGGGCCCGTGCCCCCCAAAAAGGCGACTGGAAGCTCTAGCTCCAAGAGGTTGCACTCTGACAGCCTGCGCTTCGACTAAAGCTCCGAACGAACACATACGACAAATCGGATGCAATCCGCCGTCTGGCTGAGAAGAAGGTATTCGCGAGGAGGTCCGAAGACACTTCTGGTGGCCTCCTCGAACCCGTGAAGACTGTCTAGGACCCTCAACTAGCACCCCTCTGGGAGCCGAGGAGGCGTTTCGACCTAAGCCAGCATTATCACGGTAGCTCATGCAAGCGTTCAGCATATTGGATAACCCGATCTTGGGCAGAGGGCCACCTTTCACATTCCACCTGAACGAGTGCTCTCCAGCACGCTCCCCTTTTGCACCACACAGGCATCTACTGGTCGATCAGGGCCTGAACGGCTCGCTGCTGGCCGCCACCATCTGGAGTGCGATTGCCAGTACCAGCCTCAACAACATCCACATCCACAGGCGCCTTCTTGGTATCGACGGCCCCGTCGTGCATCTCGGCCAAGACCGCGAGGGCTGCCTTCCCGTCGGCCGACTCCAGCATGGACTGGTTAAGCCCCGCTGACACTGCCTTGAGCGGGTCTGCGAACTCGGCGGCATTAGCCTTGCACAAGCACTTTCTGCAGCCACCAGCTCGCTGCGGACCGCCTCGAAGGTGGATTTAGCCTCCAACAGCTCGACCTCCAGCTCCAACTGCTGCTTGACGATCGCCTCCGTCCTCGCAGTCGACCTTCTTCCTGAAGTTGTCGCACGTCCAGCTCGCCGACTGTGCTGACGGAGGATGCTTTGGCACCGTGGCCTTAGACTTCTCCTCTGCTGCTGCCTCCACCGCAGTGGCGTCGATGCCCTGCTGCTTGAGGAAGCTCGCCACGGCCTGGAACGACAGCTCCTTGGTCGCGGTGGTGGTGGACCCTCCTTTGATTTCTCCCTGCCACGGTCGGGGTACCTCGGCGGGGACGAAGATCCCTCTCCCATCAGCTTCGCCACCTGCGCCTGCAGCTCCCTGAGAGGGCTCGCCCATGGCCAGCCGGTGGTACCCTGGCCCAGGCGCCGGGCGGCGCGCGCGGGCTCCCGCCAGCTGGGGCGAGAGCGGCTGCCGCAGCCTTCGCGGCACGGACCACACGGTCGGCGCGTCGGCCCCGCGACCGCGGCACCTGATCCTCGATGCCCTAACTGTCCCGGCAGCCGCACTTGCACCCCCACAGGTTTGTCTTGGCGCCTGGCAGCACATCCGGCGGTGGTCCCATCCGCGGGCTGCTGCAGACAGATCTGGCCTTGCTCTCCGACTGGCTCGCAAGCGCTAGCCGTTCTGAAGCACGTGCTTGCAAGCTCAGCGCCAACAAATGGCCTGAATCCGAACGGCTAGGATGAGGAGGGGGAGAGGGGGAGTCCGGAGGAGGAGGAGGAGGAGGAGGAGGAGGAGGAGGAGAAGGAGGAGGAGGAGGAGGAGGAGGAGAAAGAGGAGGAGGAGGAGGAGGAGGAGGAGGAGGTCCTCCAGCTGGAGGGCTTCGCGCGCGGGGCGCAGCTCGAACTCGGGCAGCCCCGCCGCCTGGCCCTCGGCGATGGCCTCGCGCAAACGCCCAGCGTCCTGGCTGCGCACGGCGCTTTGGAGCCCCTGGCTCGCGGCCTCCTGGCGCTCCAGGTCCTGCAGCACCTGGGACCGGCGGTCTTCGGAGGTTTCGAAAAAGTATCGAACATTATTTTCGGGGCTTTGGGTGGTCCCCATCAGTCGGCTTCACGCAAGAGCGACCCCAGGCAAGAGTGACATGTGGTGCGCGGCTAACAGAAGACCACGGAAAAGCCAAATCCAAGCGCGCAAGCCAGTGTTGAGAGGACCCCTGTGGGCCCGTACCACAGGGGGCCAGCAAGTTTCGGGGGTAGAGAATCGAAGGTCGATCCCTCACCTCCAACGTATTGACAAGAACAAGCGGGATTTTTGTTCATCGGACCTGGGCCCTCGCTGGGCTCCGGTGCCATCAGAAAACGACTCGGGGCGAAAAGCCGGCCATGGGGAAAGGGTCGGGACTCCTGGGGACCGTGCATGGAAAAAACAAGACACTGGATGTCTGGGCTTGTGGAGGTTTGCGAGTTTTGGGGTGGTCTCTATCAGCTTGGCCCTGTCGGGGCGTTCTAGGGGTTCCTGCGTCACCCCGAGCGACCGCGAGAGGATCGAGTAATGGCCCGGAAGACATGGTCCTCAGAACATGGATCCCTGGAGGTCTCGACCCAGGCCCTGGGTCCGGTTTTTCATCTTGAGTCGTTCTTCGATGGTCCCAGGGTCTGGCGAGGTCGTGCTTTTTTCGCGACGTGAAGGGGCCTGGGCCGGAGGCGGGCGCAGTCTCCACTCCCTGGGCCGAGGCCACGCGGGCACCTGGGCGGATCGGCGCACCCGCTCCGGGCCGGCCGAGGCCGCGCGAGGCCCAACAGGCTCGGGCCTCCGGATGCCCCCGTCGCCTTGCATGAGAGAAACGGGTCCTGAGGGACGCGGGTCCTGGACTCTGGGGCTTCCCCCACCGACCAGCCATAACTGGGGGAGCCGTGGTCCTTACCCCCCTGGGGGAACCAATCGCATCGACGATCTCTCGAGAGGTATGTCGAAATCGATGGGTCCCCCAGGGTGGTCAGGACCACAGCTCCCCCAGTTGTGGCTGGCCTGCCCCAGGGCCAGATCTTCGCCCTGAGTTGTTTCCTGGCGATCTTATTGGCGACTCCGCGCGGGAGGCCCCCCGCTCGAGCGCGCGGGGCGGGCCTGAGGCGGCGGACCTCTGGCCTGGGCGCCCTCGCGCGCCTTGTTGCGCGGGGTCGGATCTTGAGGGCCCCTCGGCGATGGGCGGCGGCCCTGGCGTGCAGGGACGACGGGCAGGAGGGCGCCCACTGTACACTACGCAACGGTCCTGGCCAAGCCCCTGGCAGCTGGGGCCAAGTCCAGTCCCTGGGGCGGGCTGGTCCGCTGATCCGCTCCGGCATCAGTGGCCACAGCCTCCAACGAATTGGAGAATCAAGACGGATTTATTATGCCATGTTCGGTTTCTAGGGGCCCTCGCTGGGCCCCAGGTCCGTCAAAAATAGCTCATGATGAAAAGCCAGTCCCGAGGAAAGCGTCGAGATATCTGGGGGCCCACGTCATGAACAAATCATGACGTCAGGGGTCTGGGTCAGTGGGAACGGCAGGTCGAACCCCTGGTGGACCGACATGACCACGCCGAGTTCCCTGGCGGACCGTTCGACGCCCTCGGCGGAAGCCTGGGCCAGTGGTCGGTGCATACGCCTTCCCAGGCCAAGCCAGGACGACGTGTTCACCGACCCTGTGCCCAGTATCGTCCTCGTCAACATCGCGCTGTGTTTTTGTGTGTAATTCGCCTGAGCGTGTCCCAGCTGAGCGCTTCGCGACGATGTCGTGACCTCGCCGCTGGCCCAGTAGATAGTTGGCCTCCTCCCAGCGGGAGGCTGGAGGCAGGCGGGCCCTGGCGAGGCACGCGCGCAGCCAGGCCGACTGGGCCTCTCAGGGAGACCCAGCGGCCCTGGCGGGCCGCGCCTCCTCCGCCCCCTTGAGGCCCAGGCCTCCGGCGGACTGCCTTTCTCAATCCTGGCGACTCTCCTTGGGCCTCTGCCTCCGGAAAGCGTGCTGCCGTTTGCGGACGATCAAGCAGACTTTGGTCCAGGGTGGGAATGCCACGCCCCAGGAAAGTGGCGGGGGGCTCCTCCAGACATCTGGCGTTCCGACTTTTCCGATGCGTGGGGGCCAGGGCGGCCAGGGCCTCTCGTCGAGCGTTTCCCAGAAGGCGGGATTTTCATCCTGAGCAGTTTTTGACTGTCCCAGTACCTGGACGGTCAGGCTGAAGAAAGGAGACAAGCTTCCAAAATTCTTGTTCAAAGCGTTTGGAGCCTGTGTCTGAGGCCGCGGACTAAACAAATCGCGTCGTCGGATGCTTGGGGATCCCACCTCCAGGCCAAGTGTCGGGTGATTGCTGGACCCTGGAATCCGACGTTGCAAACAAACTGCAACATCGTGAGAAATCGCGACCAGAGCCCTGGACTGCATCTTCCCGAGGCATTTTTCGAGCCGGAGCGATCTGTGTTGGTCCCAGGCTGGGGCACTGGTCGAAAACGACCGGAATGAAAGACAAGTGCAGCGCCCAGATCTCAAGGGAGGCCCCCCCGAGGTGGCACGGCGGACCGAACCGATCCCCCCCTCCGCTGCGCGCCCCATGGTATTCTCTTCCCAAGGGGGTGACCTGCCTCGCCTCCGCGAGGTGGGCCACGCGCAGTCCCCGGTCCTCGACCGCCTGGCTCGAGGAGGAGGAGGAGGAGGAGGAGGAGGAGGAGGAGGAGAGGAAGAAAAGGAAAAGGAGGAAGAGGGGAAGGATGATGAGGAAGGAAAAAGAGAGTAATGATGATGATGATGATGATGATGATGATGATGATGATGATGATGATGATGATGATGATGATGATGATGATGATGATGATGATGATGATGATGATGATGATGATGATGATGAGGATGAGAGGAGAGAGGAGGAGGAAAGAGAAGGGGGAGGAAGAGGAGGAGGAGGACGAGAAGAAGAAGAAGGTACAGGAGGAGGGGGAGCAGGAGAAGGGAGGAGGAGGATGAGGATGAGGATGAGGATGATGATGATGATGATGAGGAGGAGGAGGAGGAGGAGGAGGAGGAGGAGGAGGGTGCGGGGGAGGAGGGGGAAGAGGGGGGAGGAAAAGGGGGAGGATGATGATGATGATGATGATGAGGAGGATGAGGAGGAGGAGGAGGAGGAGGAGAAAGAGGAGGAGGAGAAAGAGGAGGAGGAGGAGGAGGAGGGGGAAGAAGATGAGGGGGACGAGGTCGATGTGGAGAGTGGAGGACGAGGAGAGGTAGGAGGATGGAGCGGGGTCGGCGAGCCAATCGGCCCGCCCGCGCAGCTCTTCTTCGAGATCGCGCCTCCGGGCCATCTGCGATTCCTCGGGCGCCTGGACGGCCATGGCAAGCAAGGCGCGTTGGCGGACTCCCCGACGCCCGGGGGCCCACTCACCCGCGACGATCTGCGCAGCTGCGCCGCCCCCCGCGGCTTCCCACCAGCCGATGGGGGCCCATTCTGCGACGCGGCAACGAGCGCGCCCGAACAAGTTGAGGGCGCTGGCTAACCTCGCCCTCTTCGTTCGCCGACATGCTGGGCGAGAAGAGACAGGCTGGCGCCGTCTTATGCTTGACCAACACACCTCAAGAAGTTGTAGGCGGACGATTCGACAAGCAGGTGCCGCTGTCATGGGCGAGCATTTGTGCAGAAAGGACTGCGAGGTCTACGTTAGCGGCCAAGGCCTACAGCGTCGGCGAAGCAATGGACCACGGCCAATTCTTGCGCCAATTTCTCCAGGAGCTGCACTCGCCCCAGGACATGAGGCTGAAGGAACACGAGAATCTGTCTACTTCGAGGCACATCCTTGTTGTGACCGATACCGACAACCTGCAGGTAACGGTAAGCAAGGACAGTTGCGGACAAAGAGACTAAGCATTGTGGTTTCAATGCCACGTGAAAGTGCACGGTCTTAGGAGAGCACTACGCCTGTTCGGACGATAACTGAGGCCGCGGTGGCAGATGGTTCGGCTGAGAGTTCGGGACGCATAGCTATTTGAGTACGCTCGTCGGTTTCACGAAGTTCGCGATGCCGCCCGCCCTCTCAGCGGAAGCGCCAGGTCGAGAAGTCCACATCGATTCTAATTTCGTGTACTTCGAGTTCTGCGGCCCCCTGCAACAGCTCTAGCCCCAGGACATCACGGATGCCAATAGGAGGTTCGACCAGGAGTGGATTGCAGACAACACCGAGGCTTCGACCAGGAGTGGATCCCGTACGGCAAGGCCTTCGAGGATTTCGACCAGGAATGCATCGGGTACGGCTAGGCCTCCGAGGAATTCGGCAACAAGCGGAACGGCCTCGGCAAGAGTGAGAGTTCGCACTGCAATGATTGCATCGAATATTTCATCAGCAGCGGTCACGGCCACAGGCGCCGAAGATAGTGACGACATGCTCATGGAAGTCCTGGTGGACGTCCTGGCTCTGATGCGCATCGCGGGGATCTACATCATGTGGCAGATGAGGGCGCTCAAACAGGCGGTGAATCGCGTATGTAAAATGGATCAGCTTCCGCCTCTGATTCAGAATCGTTCGAGATCGAGATGTACTTGCGCTGCAGGCACGTGTGCCGGCACCCCGGGAGGCGAAGACCATCGAGAGCCAAGAAATGACCTTCGGAAAGCAACGAGACGATCTTCGGAGAGGACGCCGTGAAGGCGACGACGGAGAATTACACCAGGTCCGTGGGATATCATCGGCGAAGAGCCCGGGCCCCGCAGGAGGCTGAGGCGGATCGTGGAGGTGAAGACGATCCCCGACGACTACGACTTTCAGGCCATCCGCGAAAAGCTGACTGGTGAACGTCTCAATGGCGCCTCCGTGAGCATCAAGGTCTCGGGGAGGACTTTCAGGTATCAGAATTCGATTGGCGCGCAGGTTACGAGAGACAAAGCCATCAAGGCTGCTGCTGGAGTGGCGTACTACACGAGCCCAATATGCACGGGCGGTCGACTTCGCATGCGTGGCGCCGTCGGCAGCTACAAGGAGGCAAAGTCGGCGACAGGAGCTGCGGCGGCGGCCTCTTCGAGCAGATGAACATCGACGGTTGACAGTTCGTATGATGAAGGTTGCCAGTTCCATGCTCATGGCGGTCATGGTGAACGATTCGATGTGATGAAGATTGGCTCATATTCATCGAGCGTCTTTCGAAGACAATGATTTGATGAAGCTTGCCAGTTTTACCGTCGTGATGGTTCTGACGGCCTGGAGCTCGCAGGAAGGAGGAGCTGACAGCGTGCTTATATTCCTACCATGTCCTGTCATATCTCCCCATACCTGCACATCATCTTCTTATCCTGAAGCCCCGTGGGGCCGCCTCGGGCCGCGTTGAGGCCCTTTGCCCGCCGCTGCCGTCTGGCTCTGGGGGCCTCCCAGGGCCCTTGACCATATTACGGTCGCGCCCGCGTCAGGCGCCAGCAATTGGCCCGCCGCGCGGGCTGGTACAACAGATCAAGTGCAGTATCCACCGCTGGCGCGGCTGCGCCACCTGGCACACTCTGCGCGTGCCCCGGACGTGGCGCACCTGGCGCGGCTAGACCATGCGGCGCACATGGCGCACGTGGCTCATTTGACGCGCGAGGCGTGCCTGGCACGCTTGGGCCCCAGGGCTGCCTGGCGCACCTGGGGCGCCTGGCACGCGTGGCGCACCTCGTCCAATCGCGCACATGGGGTCTGTATTGCTGTATTGGTTCCCAGCAGCTGCCCATCCATAGACGACGCTGAACATGCTGAGGCCTGAGTGCGACTTGTGTGTTGGGAGGGCGGGTGGGGATGAGCGAAACAGTCTGCGGGGGGGGAGGGGGGCTGGAGTTGGAGCGTCCAAGATGGCCTCGACGAAAAGGCAACAGTCATTGCATTTCGGCCCATCCTGGGTCCTGGGGAGGGTGGGGGGGTCCTAATTAAGGCCCCCCCTTGTTGATCGAACTCGAAGATGGCCCCGAAATGGCCCCCAAGGCTCCAAAGAGGGCCCCAAGAGGGCCCAGGAGGCCCCAAGAGGCCCCCAAGATGCTCCCCAAAGATCGAACACATCAAAAACTACACGTAGCAAAACTCCACCCAGTTGCGGGACCAGGGGGGGCAATCAAAACTCGATTAGGCGCGCTGGTCGGTCTGGGTGGACGGGCACCGCCTCGCGACCTACGACGGGGAGCGCTGGTCATGCGAAACACGTGGGGCGCCAAGCGTTGCAACTATCAGCATGTTCCACGGCGGGGCTAAGCGGCTGCTGCAACAGGAAATGATAACGCGAACTGCCGCTTCGTCCGTGGAGGGGGGATCCAGCACGGAAAAGAATTCGAAGGCGTGGGGCGTCTGGCCAGGCATTTACTTACGGCACGCATAGAACCGATCGCGGCTACAAAACTTGACGAGACACGGGGATGAGGTGGAAGTGGGAAGACATAATGAAAGAAGCTGCTAAGGCACGGAGACACGAGACGAGGGAGGAGATCACGCCTGAGGCAAAGCGGCGCCCCAAAGCACAGAAAACACTGGGGTCATCATACTGGGGCAGAGGCGGGGAAGGGCAGCGGGCAGTGCGAGGCGGAAAAGGACAGCGGCCATGCAGGTGGTTTCGCTGAGCCTGAGGAAGTGGGAAGTCGGCGGGGAGCGGCCCTGGGGACGGGGCCTCGGAGATGGGCAGCACGGGCAGCCGATGCTTCGCCAAAAGGGGACACGTACAGAACTACACTTAGCGGCCGGGGCACGGTACACGTCGGGAGCGCGAGTCGCGCCCCCGACATGTACCCCGCCCCGCTGGCTAGGTGTAGTTATATGAGTGCTCTGTTTTGTGAGGATGTCCCTGGCGAAACCAGCACGTACAGAACTACACCTAGCGCCTGGCTAAGTGTAGTTCTGAACGTGCTGGATGTCTCGAGCGGGGCGAGCACGTATAGACCGGCACCTAGCGAAAGTGGCAGGGTACAGGTCGGGGGCGTCGCCGCGCCTCCCCGCAGAGTCAGGAGGGCAGGGGCCACTGAAATCCCAGCCGCCCTCAGGGCGGCGGAGGCTGGACGTCCCAGGGATGCCCGAAAGGGACCCAACTGCGGCCCAGGGCACGCAACGAGGTCCCTGGGGGCCCCAAGAGCGCTCCACGACCTCCAGCCGCAATCTGAGGTCGTAGCGTCTTGGGGGTCTCCTGGAGCGCTTGGCGGGGTCTTGGATTCTTCCTGGGGCGCTCGGGAGGTCCCAGGAGCGCACCTGCTCGCCACGACATCTGGTCTCGATCTGGAGGTCGTGGCGTCTGGGGCCCCCGTGGGGCGTTTTGGGGGCACTGGGGGTTCCTCCTGTAGCCCATCATGGGCCCCACGAGCGCTGGTGGTCGCTACGACCTCTGACCTTGTTCTGGATCCCTCCATCCTCTTCGCCCCCCCCCGTGATCAGGGCAACTCGCCTGGTGACGATGTTTCGAGGATTTTAAAAGATATGCGCGCTCCGCCTCCGCCTCCTAATCGCGAGTTGTTATTTCTGATTCCACGCCGACTCTGGCTAGCGACGTCGAGGCCCTCGCAAATCCGACAAACGCGATGACCCCCCTCGAATGGCGGGGAAAACAAACTTTGGAACGATAGCCCAAAATTAATTCTGAAATTTCGGGATCCACGAGAGAAACTAATCCACTCGCCCAAAGTGTAGCTCTCTATCTGTCCGAAAAGACCCCCAAGAGGCCCCAAGAAACTCCCCCGAGGCACCCGCGACGTTCCAAGGGGCCCACGGGACAGCCAAGAGACTCCCAAGAGACCCCAAGAGGCCTCCAAGAAGCTATCAAGAGATATCCGAAGAGACTTCGAGAAGCATCCAAGAGGCCTCTGGCCTTTCTGCTCGCTCTTCTCCTCTTCAGCCTCTCCCTCATCCGCTTATTCCTCCTCCTCCTCCCTCCTCCCTCCTCCCTCCTCCACCTCCCCCTCCCCCTCCCCCTCCTGCTTCCCCTCCTGCTCCTCCTCCTCCTCCTCCTACTCCTCCTCCTGCTCCTCCTCCTCCTCCTACTCCTCCTCCTGCTCCTCCTCTTCCTTCCTACCCTCTTGGGATATTACGGCTTCCCCACGCCGTCCATTTCACGGCATGCTCCTCCACATCCCTGATCAGGGCAACTTTTACGACGACATGGGAGCGGTTACGGATGAAACTGGTTTCACAGGTGGGGAGTATCCACGTGTGGCGGGTGCGACCGCACCAGCAACGCCGAAGCCCTGACTGGCACCGCCGTACCCGCTAAAAGATTAGTGCATTCCTTGCTCGTCGCTGCAGTGTCCAACTGCCTCTTGCCTGCTGATTAGCATGGCCTGTCGCTACAACGGTGCAGCTCGCATGACGCGGGCTGGCACTCGCTGTGCGTTGGAAGACCCTGAGGGCGGTTCTGAAGTGAGGCCTCGCACTGATCCAAAGCTGAGGTCTTACAGACAAACAAAATCCTGCTATGGCGGGTGACGAGAATGGGGGAGGGAAATGCTCCTCATCTCCTACTCCTCAAGGATAGCAGGGGAGGGGGGAGAGTAAATAGGAGTCTAGCTACGGCTCTGGACGATGGGGGCCTTGGGAGGGACCTCTCGGGGCACATCATGAAAATAAAAATTCGGCGCCCTCCTCATCTGCGGCTAGATCGTGGGTCTGTACCTCAGGATCAGCATTATATGATGGGAGGTCACCTGTCTGATGTGCGAGGTCCGTCTCGGGAGCTACTGTGGGCCTCGCTGCAAGGATTATGCCGCCAGATACCAATCGTAGCATCCTGTCACTCGTCGGAAGTGGTCTAGCCATATCGATGTTTCCTCCTCCAGCCAGTCCGCTGGGGGCTGGGTCCAGGTGGTGCTTCGCGTTCTCTTCTGAGCAAGGGCCAGCGAGCACGAAGCCTCGGTCCTGCCAGTCCTTGGCGCCAAAGATCAGCTTGGCGGTGTTCGGGTCGTGGGTCTTGTCGGCGCTCAGGAGGGCGACTTCGGTCTGGAGGGTCTCTACGTCGATCAGTGGTTCGGGCTGAGGGTCCTCTGACTGGCATTTCTCGAGGTACTCTTCGGTCTCTTTGCAGACTCGACCTCCCACTTCGCATGGAATTACGTTTCTTGGGGCCTGCTTTAGTGCCTGCATGAAGTCTGCTGAACTCGGCGACTCGTGAGTGGTCGCGGTGGCGGTGGGCTTCGGTGATTTGTTAGCCGAAAAATGATGCCACCATGCCCGTTTCCATTGGGCATATTCGCGGAATCGGCGAGGGATGAGCTTGAGATAGATGTCATCGGCCGCCATGCCTTTGTCACGTAGTTGTGCACGTTCTCGGAGGAGTTGCTGTCGTATACGCTGAGCATCTTTGAACCAAGCTGGATGTCCTCCATGGCGAAAATAATGTAGAATCGCTGCTTGCTGGACCAGGTATGCAACGTGTGCTGCATGTCGGTCGGGAAGCTGGTCATGTTGGGAAACTCGGAAAGTATGTGCATGTTGAATGAGCTGCTGATGATGTAGGTCACGTAGAAATTCAGCGCGTAGGTACCCCGCCTGTAATCCTGCTGCCAGCGGGGCCCAGTCCCATCGTAGTGCATTCTCGATAGAAGATAACGTTGGGCAATAAATTGGACATGAATAAGCATTGGGATGTAATCGAACATGTGAGGAAGGACGCGCAGGCGTTGATAAAAACGCCAGCATAATTTGAGCTTCGTAATAATAGGAAACGCATCAATCGGGCCGATCCAATAATCAATTCTGCTGCGAGCACCGCCATTGCCGAAAGAAGTCTGCCCAGTAATCCAGAATGTGTTATACGCGCAGAGCTGCTTGATGATGAGTCTTTCGTGATTGGGTGTGCCTACGGTAGTCTCTGGGGCGGGCTGCTGTAGTTCGGTGCTGCCGTCCGTACATATGGCCCGATGACGATGTCCCATGCCTTGGTTGAGGTCGCTGAAAAAGAGGGGCGTCATGCGTGTCGGAGTATAAGTAATCTCTGTTGTAGTCCATTGCCAAATTCGTGTGCGTGTCCGTTCCGTGATCTTGATCTTTGCGTTTGGGCTACGTGGGACTGGTAATAGGTAACCCACGATCAGCCTGACTCGGAAATATCCTCGTACAATATCAGTGGCGCCTGCACGGCCCTGTAAGTAAGATGGCGGGGAGGCAATTATGACCACGTGCTTGGGAGAAAAAAGTCGCTTACATATCGCAATGGAGCGTCCACAGGCGGAAGTAACATGTGGGGGCCGACCCTCGTCCCAGTGTATCCAAAAGTGGTAACTGGATTCTTCACGGTAATGTAATGGCTGTGCAATCTGTCGAGTAGCTGAAATCGATCTGCTGGAATGCCTCCTGGATTTCGGGGTCCCTGAAAATCTTCCGAATGTCGTCGTCGATGTCCCAGAGGCCACAGAGGTCCTCGCGGAGCTGGCGGGCCCAATATGTGTGCCAGGGCGTAAGATACCGTATTGGTTGCGAAACTCATGGCTGATAGAGTCGGTCCTGCCAGAGGGACTGATCAATGAATAGGGGTTCCAGCCTACGAGCTTAAGTAGTACTAAGCTGCTGCATCGTCGCCATGTCGTCATTCAGGGTCTTCCACCAGCAGCGCCGCGCCGCGCGGCGGCGCACACGGAGCGTCAGGGCCAGCCTCTCAGCAGGCTGGGGGGTCCATGGCGGGTGACTGGACTGCACGAGATGTGCGGGAGGGAAAGGGGGAGGTGTGTGAGGCCTGTTCACACGGGGGGGCTCGAGCCTTTCGCGGCCTTGATCAGGGCAACTCGCCTGGGACCCGTTTCTGGATGGGCTGGTGGGGTTCAGCTCGGCTGTCGAGTGAGATCAGCAGCGGCCTTCGGGGCCGGAGGCCGCGCGACGAGCCTCAGAGATCAGCAGGGGTATGTTCTCCAGGGAACTTACGTCCCTGGATATATCTTTTGTGTGACTCGTGCACCCGAACTTGGTGTGATGGATGGCTTAACTGATAGCGTTGAATCCACGCATTTCGATCTGAGGGGCCTGAGATCCTGACACTTACGTGCTAGTGACTCGGACAATGTCCTGAGGGTCACCACCTTTGGCCAGGAAGAAAGACACAGCGTGGTTGGCTTCCCGCGGCAGAAATCCACTTGCATAAATGCGCTCGAGGACGAAATTCAATGTGGTTGCGGTGGAAAGCAAGAGCCACGCAGCACAGGTCAATCGATCTGGGCCAGTTGAATTGGGTTTCGCTCGCTTGAGGGCGTGCACAAGCGTGTTGGCAAGGCAGAGGGGCATTCAAGGTTGGGAAGGGAGGAGTGGCACTGCCCAGGGAGGATTGGAGTTCCTGGGCGGACATGGGCTGAGCAGAACAAGTTGGTCGCTCGTGAGACTGGATTGCCTGGGACATCGGAAAAGCGTCGACGACAATATCTGGAACGTCTTCATGCAAGTGAGCGCGGACCCGGTCGAGGCGAAGCTGGCCAATCCACCTGGCCCAGAGACGGGCACGACGAGCAGCCTTCCGCTCAATCCGACGCTGGGAAGTCTCAAGGGGAGGAGGAGGGGGAGAACGAGGAGCCCGATGGAAGAGGCGGAGGGATTAGCATCAACGGCCATCGACAATAAGTCAATGGTGAAATCAAGAAGACCATGTTGCTCACCATGAACACGAAAGCGGCCAGGGAGAGCGACAGGACCCAACGATGGAGCACAGGTGGAGTCGGAGAACGATTGAGGGGCCAAAAGAAAAATGGAGAAGGAGGAGGAGGAGGACGAATATGAATACGGAGGAAGGAAGGGGAGGGAGAGAGGGAGGGACGAAGAGGAGGGCAGAAGCGGACGACGACGACGAGGCGTTGCCTGGATCGCGGCGCGCAAGCCCTCGAGGTCGCCCCTCTCCTCCGCGGCCAGGAGGCGCTGCAGCAATCTCGAGGGCTCCAGGCGTTCCTCATCGATGCCAGCGGCCTCGGGACAGGTGCCGACGAGGCCCACAATTTCCCCTCCTTCGCCGCTTCCTCCGCCACCGCCTCCTCCAGCCCTTGCTATAGAACCTCTTTGCTCGAGCTCGTCGTGCCGCATGCCCGGCCGCCGCGCCTTCCTGACGCGGGTTCGTCCAAAAATGCCCGCTCGGGCGCCGGAGGCCTTTCGGGGTGCCGCCCTGGCAGACCATGCTGCGGCTGGTCTCGCCGGTGGCGCGCCCTGCAAGGCCGCCGCGGCTCCCGTGGGCGTCGGAATGCATCCTCTGCTAGGCCCTGGCGCATGCGGACGCGGCGGACCCCCAACGCCCCCCGGGCGCCGTCGCCCGCGCGGCCGCGGCGGCTTGGCAGGGCAGGGCGAGCAGTTGGGCTGAAGGTCGAGGAGGTGGAGGGCGCCATCGTTGAGGAGGCGACGGCCACTGCGCTTCCTGGGGCCGCATCGGCGGAGTGGGGGTGGCGACGACGTCAGCATGAGGCTGCGCCCGACGAGTGGGCGGATGCCCTGCCGATCGTGCAGGGGCGTGCGCGCCTTGCGGGCGGCTTTGGCTTGGGCAAGGGCAAGTTCAAGGGCGGCGCAGACAAAACGGGAGCGGGGCGCGGGATCTCATCTTGCAGCGCGCGGTCGGCCCCTCGGAGCGCGTGGGCCACCGCACCGACTGCGGGCTGAACGCCGTGGTCGCCCTCCTGGGGAATGAACTGGCTGCGCGTGGCGGTCCTGCTGCTTGGTGGCCGTGGAGGTCGGCGTCGGCGTTGAAGCCGTCGCGGCGTGCCCCGTCGGCATGCTGGGCTGAAGCCCGCTGGCGCGTGCGTTCTATTGGCCTTTGCCGCGTACCTCCTGCTCTCAGACGTCAGTCGCTTCCCAGCAGCTGCGGCTCGCTGGGACGGTGGTCGGTGCAGCGGGCGGGCGGGCCACACCTCGCCTCCGAAGGGGGGCCATGGGCCGCTGATGTTCAACAACCTCTGTTCCTGCTCCTCCTCCTCCTCCTCCTGCTCCGCCTCCCGCCTCCCCCTCCCTCCCTACCAAATTTTCCTTTCCGCCCTTTCGGTGGCCCTCTCATGGGCTGCCCGCCCGGCCGCGCCGCTCGGCGCGAGCACCACTCTAGCGCGGGCGGGCAGCCGAGGAGTGCTTAGACTCGCCGTCTGGTTGTGGCAATGATTTGATCGCGCCTTCGTTGACTTCGGAGGCGAGCGCGCCGAGGGTGGCGCTGTAGAGTTTGGTACCGAGCGTATCGAACTCAGCTGGCCTCAACGCGAGGTCGGCATGTTGCACCTGCGGATCCGAAGCGTTCGGACGGAAGCACGACAGTGTCCTGTGTTCGCAGTGACAAAACGGTGACGTTTGCTGTCGCCGATTCTCGCTAATTCAACCAGAATTGAATGAAGAAGCCCAGATGCATCTCGTCAGCGTCCTGTGCAATCGGGTGTGGAAAAGGGTGGGGGCGGCTGGATCGTGGGAGTGCTCTAGGTTTGCCCTTCGTCCTGGTCGTGATCATCCGAAAGAGCGTTTAGGAAAGGAGTGTTTTCAACTGATCCCGCTCCAAGAGCCTCATGCAAGCTTTATGCGCGCCTCAGCTGTAGGGGACGCGCCAACCTGGGTCAGCTCAAACCCAGGTCGGCCAGGGCCCTGTGGCAAAGCCTGGCCGGCCGCTCAGTAGCTCCCAAGCCCGGGTCAGCGGAGGGCGGAGGAGGGGAACCGGCACCACGTGGCTCCCAAACCCGCGTCAGGCAGAGGGGGTTAGCTGACTCCCGTTAGCGCTGACCCCGTTACGTGAGCACCGAATCTGTCGGCTACGTCTGTACACGGACAGCAAACGCAGGCGGCGTCAGCTGCTGAGGCGCCGTCCCGAAGTCCAAGGTGTCCCGAATGGTTGACTCGGTCTGCGGCGTCGCGTGCCGCGACTGGGTCGCCCTCGAGTGGCGCCGCCGATCGAGGAACGACAAATGGTGGCGATGGCTCCACGATCAGCATAGAGGAACAAAAAGCGGCAGACACATTCACTTGTTTATGCTTATGCCGTGTTTTCTTCTTCTCATTATTCGACATCAGGACGAGCAACGCCACCGAGGCGTACGGAATCGCCAGAGTCCGATGTGGGGCGAACGGGTTCGCCTGCAACACTGGATGGCATTGCTTCATCGCGGTGCATATGTTCGCAAGCATCGGCGAATGTATGTATAGAAGGCAGCGGGGCTGAAAAAATGCACGGACTCCACGAACTGCGACTAAGCCGGAAATTTCGGCCAGGGTCCCGAAGGACGCACCACCGAATAAGCCGAAAACGGCGGCCACGGCTCCTAACCGTCGGGCAACGCCACTGGTGCAAGCATCAACGGCACCGAATTCGCCGAAAAAGGCGGTCATAGACTTTACCCATGGGGCAATGCTGGCAGTGACGCAGGCGACGGCGGTTGCGGCAGCCTGTGCATGACATGCGACTTGATGGCGGCGAGCTCGTCGAAGGCCTCATCCAGTGAGATGCGCCCGCTCGCAAATCACTCGTCAACGTCATCTGCGTAGTCCTCTCACCCACCAACTCTGGATGTGTACCCTGTTCGTGCCCCCCATTGTTACATTCCGCTAGATGTGAAGAATGCAATGCGCGTTGGAGAAGGAACAAATCCCACCAGCCGCTGGGCGGAGGTGGTTTCCAGCGTTTCCTCTTCCAACCCCCTTCTGCCCCATCGGGGAGGACCCTCCCACTGTCTGGACGGGGGGTTCGCGACCCATCAGAGCGTCTAAGATGACTCGAGATGGCTCCACGATGTCCCAACAGAGCTCAATATCATTTTAACGATGTAATAGCAAGATCGCTCAAGATGGCTTCCAACATGCCTGCCAGAGCTCCCAGTATTCTTACAAGACGGCTCCACGTGGCCACGGAACCTCCAAAGAATGCCCCTCAATTGCCACAATCCATTCAGTACCGTAGAAGCACAAAAAAAGCACGCAGCACACACGCACGAGTGTTGCGTTCTCGCTTTTCGCTTCAATTGGGTTTCCGAGGCCTCAGTCTGGCCCCACTGTAGCCCCAAGCATAGCCGAAGAGCGCCCCAAGAACGCCCCAAAGGGGCCCCTACGAAACGACTTTTCCGGCTCCATAGGGCCGACGCTGTTAGGGGATCCCCCTTCGCTCAAAGCTTGAACAGCACTTGTTTGTGCTCACAGATTTTGGCACCTCGAGGCCACGCTTGGGCTCCAAGATGTTTCTAGGTAGCTCGATCTGGCCTCGAAGATGGCGCAAGATTGTCAAGAATGGTAGGCAGCTCAAAATATCTTCGGAGTTGCTTCCAAGAGGTCTCAAAACCGCCCTTACATGGCTCGAAGTGCCCACGGAGCCCCCGCCCGAAGGCCAACATCATTCCAACTCTTGTCGGACATACCTGATTTGGGCCTTCTCGCCATTTCGCCTCCGACGACCTTCTGAGGTTTCAAGCTGCCGCTTATATTGCCCAAGGGAGTCGCAAGAGAGGCCCAAGAGGGTTCCAAGACGGCCCATAGAGCGCCCCCAGAGAGCCCCAAGAGGCGACTCTTCGGGATCCGACGGGGGGGGAGGCGCCATTAGAAACCCATTATTGTTGATCGATGCTCCCAAAATCAAGACGCTCCCATGTCGACAGATTCGTGAAGGCATTCATGGTTGACTCCTGCGTCGGCTCAGGCTGATCCCGAACTCCGGTGTGACGGCTGCCCGCCCTCCTTGTTCCACCGCTTGCGTCTACACTTCCCTGAGCAATGCAACTCGCCCAGGCATCGACCGGATGGGCTGGTAGGGATACTTTCTTGATCACAAGCGCACCGGGGACGCCGGACGCCGTCCGAGAATCGTAGCTAGCGGGCCACGGCCAAAATTGCGCAAACAGGAGGGGGGAGAGGAGAGGCAACGAGAGGACAGCGGAGGGAGGAATAAACAGGAGGCGGGCCTCGCTGCCGCTCAGAGGAGAACGCCGTCGGTTGGGGGGGAAGCCGCCAGCGGCTGGTAGGGATTCTTTTAGTCAGCGGCCGCGGGCGAGCGCGCCGGCGTCGAGTCAGGTCCAAGCGGGCTACGCAGAGACTAATTAGGCAGAGGCGACGCGCAAGGCGACAGCAACGCGGCAAGCCGAGGCCTCACGCAGCGGCCCAAGGGCAGGTGGATGGCTGGAGGAACTGAAACTGAGTGGAACTGCAAGCGTGCAAAATGCAAGTCCGTCGAAGGCGCCAGAAACTGGGATATAAACGACGATCAGGGACAACTCCGAGAGAGAATGCATGAGCCCGAACCTCAAGCAGCTGCGCTGGTAGGGATACGTTTTTTGGTCGCGGCCACAAGCGAAAGCGCAGGCGGCGGGTCGGTAAGTCCGGGGCGCGGTCCCTACTAATTTACAGCGAGCAGCAAACTAGAGCGCGGGGTCAAACCTAAGCTGCCTAAGCCGCCGAGCTGCGCTGCGGTGAGCTGGGGGCGCCGAGGGCAGGAGGTCGGAAGCGGTCCACCAACACCGACATGCATCAAATTGCCAGGCCAAACTGAATCAGGCTGGTAGGGAAATGCAGGAATCGCAGGCCAGCATGCCGATGCTAGTAGCTTCCGCACATCATTTGCCACGAAAGTAATTAGCTGTGCCAGGGTAAGGAATCCAGGAACGGCTGACGGCCGTCTGCACGTGCGTAGCAGGAGACCGAAACCAATCCAGGAATGGCCTAGCGACCAGGGCAAAGCATAGCACCCGAAGGCCAGGAACGGCTGACGGCCGTACATACGCGCGTAAACCAACCCCAACTGAACCAGGCTGATACCATGCAGAACTGCCGGTGCAAAACGGCAGCGTGAATGCCAGGAGCCAGGAACGGCTGACGGCCGTCTGCACGTGCGAAGCATGAGACCGAAACCAAACCCAGGAACATGGCATAGCGGCGCTGGTAGGAATACTTTTGGTCGCGGGCGCAAGCGAGAGCGCAGGCGCCGTCCAAGTAAGTCCGGGTTGCGGTACCTTCTAATTTACAGCGAAAGCAAGCGGCGGGCGCGGGCTACCGGCTCAGGCTGCGGCTGCACTGGGCCAAACACAAATCCACACAGCCGAATGCGCTGGTAGGGATACGCGTAGCGTCAATAGTTTTGGATCGCTCACATCAGCCCTTCCTGGATTGGAAAGCCGTAGGTGCCCCCCAAATCGGGCATCCGTCAGCTGACCTGAGCGTTTGAACACGTGCTTGGCCATACTCATGCTGCCAGGACGCTGACTCTTGTCCAATCCACTCAACGCAAGTCCCATCGCGTCGCCACAACACCGGCGACGGAGGCTCTGGAGGAAAAACGCCCTTCGTGCTGCTTCTGTGTGCTGGCCGTGCTGGTTGTTGACCAGCGAAACGCAAATGTCACGAAGCTTTTGTCATCGATTACCAATCAAGCAATTCCCAACAAGAGTCACAACGTTACGGCATAGAAGACTTGTCTCCCTCTTCACGTCACACCATGTCTTTCATTTGGCGGGTGGGCAGGGGGCTGCATCTATTCCCCCGCCACCACTCTCCTCCCTCTCTGACTCTCTCCTCCTCCCTCCACATCCCTCCTACTCCACATCTGTTTTTTCCTTTATTTTTCTTAGTATTCGTCTTCTTCGTCCTCTTCATGTTGTTTGTCTTCTTTTTACTCCTCCTCCACCTCCTCCTCCTCCTCCGCCTCCTCCTCCTCCTCCTCCTCCTCCTCCTCCTCCTCCTCCTCCCCCTCAAGGCTCCAGGCTGGAGGCCTCCGTCCCGACGTCTGGTGTGACCGTCGCCTCCTCCTCCTCCTCGTCCTCCTCCACCTCCTCAAAGCTCGAAGCTAGTTTGTCCCTCCTCCTTCACCTGCTCCTCCCTCCTCCCTCGCTCCTCTCCCGTGAAGGGGAGGGAGGAGGAACCGGCGAGTGCGGTGTGAGTCCCCGGTCGAGCCTTCGCCGCGGCGATGGCCTGTTCCAGCGCCAGCGCGTCGGCGTCCTGCACTGTCCTCCTCCTCTGTCTTGGCCTCCTCCACCTTGGCATCCTCCTCCTCCTCCTCCCTTCGTAATCTTTCCCGCCTCCGCTCGCGGACGATTTCGACGAGGCCCTCGGGCTAACGCGTGAAATGGAAGAAGAACATCATAAACATAAACTGTCGGAGGTCCGCGCGGAATTCTTGGATCGTAGCGCACGAGGACGGCGCTGGAGGCGCCGCCAGGGGGGCCCCGAGCGTCGATCCGATAAATCCGCGCGGGCCTCCGAAAATGTATGTTTATGCCATGCTTCCTCTCTCGATTACATGCCCTCCCCCGGGCCATCCGCCCCTGCCGGGTCTCCAACGTCCCCCCCGCCCGAGATAGCGCACGCCCCACTCGATGCGGGCGCGTCCTCTGTTGCGCGCTCCACGGCGCGATTGGCGGATTCCTGCGGCACGCGGGGGGGAGGCATCCCGTCCCCCCCTCTTCCAGTTCCCCCCCCGCTCCAGCGTCTCCGATTTTGTTGTTTATTGTTTCTCCTCCTCCTCGTGTTCTCCCCCAATTCCTTCTGCCCCCAATTTCCTCTTCCCCCGTCCCGGCCTGCACCTCCCTACCTCCGTTTGTGAAACTCTGCAAGCCAACCCCTTGCGGCATCCTTGGTTATCCCGGCACCTCCCAGAGTCTGCCTTCTGGGGCCTTCTGGGAGCTCATGTTTCGTGTTTGTAAATCCCAGCCAAGGATGGGGTCTGGGGAGGTGCTTCATCTTGCTGCCGAGACCCAGCACGGTTTTTGAGGACTCTGTAGTGGGACGATGGGGACGACGAGGATATGGCACTGCATGAAAGGTCGATGAAAAGCATGAGGAAGAGAGCGAGGAGGAGGGTATGGGATGAGACAAAAGGGGAGGAAGAGAACGTATGATATGGAAAAAAAGAGGCGGACGGCCATGAGTAGGAATAGTGTTAATATTTTGGTTAGTGAGGACACTAAAGGAATCATAATGTGGGAATGGGGACAGGAACTGGGATGTGAGTGGGAAAAACGATGGGGACGAGGGATGCCAAACACCACCAATCATCTGGGCTTCGCAAGCTTAGCGGATCAATTCGACTAAACGCATGATTCTCCTCTCGTGGAAAAGTTTACCACCACTCTTCCTCGATAGACACCAACTCCCCCACTCGAGTGACGGCTGGCCAACACATTTGCGCTGGCACCCTGCCTTCCATCCCGTTCAAAACAAGTTGCAAGTGCACGTTGCGGCAACCACTGGGTCATGTGTAGGCTCATCATCAAGCTTCTGCAAAGGATCGCGGGGGTGCGGACATCTGTTCGGCTGCGTGCTGGCCAATCATCCTTGTCGGAAACAAATGCGAGGTAATGGAAGGTAATGGAATATGCGCGCACCATGCTCGATGGTAACCTCCCAACCGTCACTTTGAGTTCTGGTGGAAATTCCACTCCCGTTCGTGACATGTCCATGCCACAAACTCATCATCGATAACCTTGCCTAGGGCGTGCAAGAACAATGTCTCGGACTTGGCATTGCTGTGCATCAAGAGAATGTTTGTGTGGAACGTTTGACTGGGTTGATACGATTGCCGTTGCTGCATCAACTGTTGCGAAATGAATGGTCAACGCGATGTTTGACAAACGCTGCTGGCACACCGTGATGCCACTGATTTCGTGATAGGCCTGCGGCCTCCTGGCCGCAATGCTGGTCGTTAAAATTGACAGTTCCCATCTGCACATGCCTGCAAATGGGTGTTGCCTCTGGGCTTGTGCTTGGCCGTGGTACTGTCTAGTCTTCTTGGGCACCGTTGAGGATAAGGTCCATGTGCTTCATTGCCAGATCTACCTGGAACGCCTGAGTACGATTAAATGCTTTTCTTTATTTTTTGAATTTCCGCCTTGGACGGTACCCAATGCTGCGCGTGGGGTCTGGGTGGGATTTGAGCAGCGATGGGAGAAAACGCAAAACCATTCCCTGGACATGTCCTGGTTATCAACCCGGCCTCTTTTTTCCCAGCCGCGTCCAGCCGTGTCGACGAACGTCTCCAAAAACCTCAAATGGCCATCTCATGTCCTCATATATCCCCGTCCTGGATAAGGGGGAGCGAGGGAGCGATGGCAAGACCAGTGAACATCGAATCGGGATGTCGGTCGAATCCAAATGTGCGTCGGACGGGCCGCACCGACACGGAGTCGAAATCGAATCGGATCCGCCGCCTCACGATGCACAACAACGACATGCAAGCACGGGCCACATCGGATCGTCGGAATACCGGGATCGACTCGGATCGAGCGCGCCGGAATCGATATCGAACGGATTGGACAATGACCTCGGCTGCTGGGGCATAACTCGGGTCTCCCGCGGCCGTTCGAGCCGATCTGGGCACCCCTGGAACGCTGCCGGCGAGGCGCAGCTGCCAGAACGTATGCCGAAACAGTAAATCCAAGAGAAACCAGCGAAAGCGTCAGAGACGCCTCCCTCCTCCTGGATGGGGTGGCCAGGCCGGCCTCCGCTCCACGCCTGTCTACCGTGCCCCCTCCGCACCGAGATCGACGGTGCCCCCTCTCAAACACCCTTGGGATCCTGCTGCAGCAGCACCGTCACGCGCAGCCTCGCGCCCGACAGCTCTGGGGCCACTACCCCCAGGGACTCGCAGGCCTCGACAACGAGGGGAAGCAGGAGG